GACTCGACGATATTACGATATGGATTACAGCGTATATTACAATACCGGCGATTACGCGACACAATGCGCACGGAACCGACCCGCGCGGGCGCGCGGGCGCTGCCGGCAGCCGTCGCGCTTCGAATTAGGCGTCTCGGCACGGGAATAGGACAAGAGGGTGGCACGGAGCGGAGGCAGGGGGCAGGGGGGAGGCATCGATTGATCGCGCTCTCGTATTCGGAGATGGAATGATCAACGACGCTAATAGCGCTGGACGCCCGGTGGCGTGGCGAACAACGAGAGACGCGACCGGCAGATAACGCGCGGCCGAGGACGATAACGCGACCTCGCACTCGCATGCGGATGCCGACGCGGCGGATGCAATCGCGCCGTGTCCTGAGACCGTGCCATGTGCGAACGCGCATATTTGCATGCGCCCCGATGACTGTGTCCGCGATGATGCATGATCTCACGCCGGCGATTAAGTGGCGCGTGTGCTGACAGAAATTGATTTGCCGCGCGCGCGTACTCGTGTAAGAACTCCCGGCGGAATTTCGTAATAAGCGAGCCTCGTAAATCCTCGGGCGTTTCGAAGGGACGCCGGAGATTTAAGGCGCGCACGCGTGTGTCTTTCTCTCCAGTCTGCCGGTCTCTCCGTTGTTTCGAGAGAAAGAGAGAGATTCGCTGAGCTCCTCACTTGCCGACTGATATCGCGATTATTTCCCTTTTCTTTGGAATTTTGAAAAATATACAGACGATCGCGACGAGAGGTCGCGTGATGAAAGCGGTTATCCGCGCGCCGTGTTTCGCCGGCATTGTAGCAAAATTGTCCGATACGCTCGATAAGAATCTACATAATGATAAACACACGCGGGGGGACGCGCGCGCGGCGGCGTCGATCGAGCGGGCGTGTGAGCGAACGCGCCGCGCCGCGCCGCGCCGCGCCGGGCTACGCGGAATCGCGATACGCGTATTACCCGAGTCGCGTTTAAGTATATAGCCCCCGTGATATATATTATCAGATAATAATTAGGTGTCCGCAACGTACGCATTATCGTGTAAGATCGCGTTATTATTGCAGTCACGGCCAATTATACCCGCACGCTGAAACATCAATTCGCCGTTTCGCCCGACGCGAACGTCGCGCGAGCGCGAGCGACTGTTCCGCTCGGGAGCGCTGTAAGTATCGCATAAATTAAGACGTATAAATAACGTGTAATCATGCGTATCGCTCGCGGTATAATTTATTGCAATTTGTGCCGGGGCGCGGCCAAGACGTCGCCTCTTTGTACGCCTCTCTTTTCCTCTCTCTCTCTCTCTCTCTCTCTCTCTCTCTCTCTCTCTCTCTCTCTCTCTCTCTCTCTCTCTCTCTCTCTCTCTCTCGTTCTTGCGAATAATTCGTCCGGTTGTTCCCTTATTGCGAAATACCACTGTCACTATATATTTTCTTGCTGCTTCTCGCTGCATTTGCATCGATGAAAAATGTAGCGACATGGCTAACGTATTTATGAGGCCCGGGCGTAATAATTTATGGAATACTCGAATATCCTCGATCTCTCCAATGTGCCACGATAACTCGATCGATCCCCTCCATTTTAATAGAGACAGATTTCCGAGAGAAATCAAACTTCTCCCTTAATTAAAGCGCAAGTTGCGAAAGCCGTTAGAATCGAGGGACTTTCTCTCGCGAGTTCCCAAAGAAAAAGAGAGGAGAGGGAGAAAAGGGAGGGGAGGAGGAGAGAGACGCGGTGATCGTCGACGTTCGACGACTTTGTACGAATTAAGAATGCATCGTGTACTACGCTGGCTCTCGCCGAGCGGAGGGAAGTGACGATCAGCACGGATAACATCGCGCAGAATCGAGCGCGCAAGGGCTGCAGGAGATTCTATGGGAAGGGGTATTAAATACGTGACTCGACTCATCTCGGCCGTGTTTCCATCGTTCAGCTTCCACCGGCATCCCTTAAACTATTTCGCGCTAAAAGGCGTGAAATGGAAGCTATCGTCGTTACTACGGCCATCGGTGGCGTGATCCCGCTTAAGAATTTAGTATAACACGTGCGCGCGCGTGCTGCTAGCCCGGGGAAGGAGAGAGAAAAAAAAAGGTCGATCGGGAAAAATGGACACGTACTCACGTCGGCATTTAACGCCGCGCTCTCGTCATCGCGCGGCTAAACCGTAGCGCTAGAAATTTTCACTTAGCAAACGTCCCTCGCTAACGTTCTCGTTAAAAATTCCTAAAGTGCCGGACTTGCCTCTAAAGTGTTGACGACGAGCATCGCGGTTTCTCTCTCTCTCTCTCTCTCTCTCTCGCTCTCTCTCTCTCTCTCTCTCTCTCTCTCTCTCTCTCTCGCTCGCTCTCTCGCAACTGCGAGACTCGCGTTTACACTTTCTGCTAGAAGAGACCTCTGTCGCCTTTCTCATGTGACAAACTTGGAAGCCCTTTAATAATAAAACGTGCGTGTAAGAGCGAGCGAAATTGCGTTATTTCTGAAGTAAAAACTACGTAGAGAGGACATAAAGTCGGGTATAAAGTTGGACAAAAATTGCCCAGATAAGAATTAAACGCAGATAAGTCGGGCAGCTGTGCTACTTATTCTATAAAAATATCCATTGACGATTTTTTCTTCGCGCTCCGGCGAACAGAACGTGATGTTCGCAGAGAGAGAGAGAGAGAGAGAGAGAGAGAGAGAAAGCGCATGCCTTTAAGGTCGAATTTTCGTCACCAAAAAATGCAACATTCCGTGAGAATTCATGTGATACTCACCCGTTATTAATTATGGCCGATGGAATTATCCACTTAATTATAGCGGGCATTGACGATCGTATCAATAAACTTTTGCGCCGTGGTATACGTGCGGCGCAATTTATACATGGTCCAACATCGGCATAATGCGCGGTCGATTATAATTATGCGCATATTAATGAGCACGCATAATGCGCGACATTTAGGCGAGTTGAGTCGATTTTAAAACACAAAAGAAAGCGCGCAATCAGCTCGGCCGGCCGTCCCAGCCGAAAGCCCGTCGCGTGTTTATTGTTTTAGGCAATTAAAGTTAAACGTACAAACAGACACGCATAGAGTCGCGCGATACGCCGGCGCGCGCAAGTGAATTAAAAAGAATCGCATTTATGAATTAAAGAGAATTGTGCGCGTCCGAGCGACGCGATGCGTCAAAGCCAATTTGAAAGGAGAGTTTCCTGGAAAAGGGCGGACGAAAAGCAACGTTACAGCAAAAGGAAGAGAGAGATAGAGATAGAGAGATAGAGAGAGAAAGATAGAGAGAGAGAGAGAGAGAGAGAGAAGGGGGGGGGAGAAAAAATATAGAACGAATGCATCCAACTGTGCGTCCGTTCTCTATGAATTTATCTTCTACTTTCCTCGTGCGCACGCTATATCTGCGTTACAAGAGGATTACATTTTACAGCAATAAATCCGTCCCGCTAACGGCGCGGCGTATAACGCTTTTTACGTGCGGAATCTTCAATGCGACGGTGGATCCAGCTGTATTTTAAATGACGACGCAATTCAGATCGGAACCGCTCACAGAAAGGCGCCATGCAAATATGGGCTCGCGTCTTTTTTACGACCGGCCTTTAAATCCGCCCGTTAAAACCCATCCGTTCCGTTTGCTCGCCGCGATAGATTTTAATATCCGCATACAAATTATTAACTCCCGTGTGAATTCGCGCGACGTCACCGCGCGCGCGCGCGCGCGCGCGCGGCAAATATTCGCGGAATGACGCAAGCGAAGCTTCGAGGATCGAGCGATCTTCGCCTCGAGAGACTTGCCAATGGCTTCTCGATACATATTTCAGAAACTCGCAATTTACTCGAGAAACTCGTTCCCTCCGCCTTACAACCCCCCCCCCGCTCCCCTCCCTCCGTGGATCGATAATCGAGCGCGGAAAATCGAGAATGGGTGATTGTGATACGAATCATGATTTTCATGGCGGTTCCCCGGCTCGTTTTTCTCCAGCCGTCTCTCGTCCATCGCTCTCGTCAATACACGATCCGGCGACGTAGACCCGACGACGAGATATTCATAAACGCGAAAGAGAGGGAGCACCAGCACCTCTCGGAAAATTCGAACGATTCTAGGGAATATTTGTAGGAAAAAAAAAAAAAAAAAGAATAATATTTGCGCGGGGACGCATCAGCCAGCCGGCGCGCGCACGCGCGCGATGCTCGAGAATGTCTCGTCATTTTCACACGCGCGCGTCTCTCTACCGTCCCGGCTTTTACTCCAGATTTCCACGATATTCTAGCGGCGCGCTCGCCAAGTATATAATATGTGGAATTTTCTGAGGAATTTAGCGGCAACGCTCGTGATAAATATCACATTTCGCCGAGCGAGCCAGCCCGACACGCAGGGCGGGGTGGAGGAGATTCCATTCGAATTCACGCCGGTCGTACGTATATCCGGCTTTACGATCCTCCCCCGCCGCGCGAGAAGGTTCGCGAACGTGCATCACCGTGAGAGGTGAAAAATTCGCGAGGCGAATTCGAAGGCGAGAGCGATGACACACCGCGGCCGCGCGCGGAGCAGGCTCCGACGGCCGGGGCTTCCCGGGGGGGAAGATACACGCCGCTCGTGAAATTCATTTGATGCGTCATAACGCAATCCGGCCGGCGAACGACGATGTCAATTACCCGCGCGAAATCGCGCGTCGCGATGGACATCTCGCGTGAAGCGTTCCCGCCGATTCCTATCCGCGCGATCCGAAAACGCCCGGGCGAGCGAAAAATGCGGCGGCGGCCCGCTCGTTCACGCTCGGCGGCTTCGGCGCGCGTCGAAAGAATGGAATTTTGCCGAGTCCCTCCCGCGACTATTCCCGCTTTGCGTCTTTGGTCAAAGGAACAGAAACGAGCGAAAGGCTACAACCTGATTTACCGCCGCCATATAGCCAACGTACTGCTGCGTTGCTCGTCGTCGTAGGAACGCGCGGCGTGTTCGACCAGCTAAAATTCCATATCCTTCCTGTCACAAAGGTGCAATAAATGTCTTCACATTACTCACTGTTCGGATCGTGTATCCAACGCTTCTTGTCGCCGACTTTCATTATGCGGGTATCGTCCTGCAAGCAGAGGAAATTCGCACGTTAGAGAAGGTCGCTTTAACGGCGCGCGCCTTATTTTTAGACACAACAGGACACGCAAATATGAGGCGCGCAGCGAGCAGCCCCCCCCCCCCGAAGGTCGTACTTTCGCACCGTCACGGGATTCAAGGGTAAGTGGCGCTTTGCGCCAAAATGCAGTTCGATTGATGCGGTGGTGGTAGTAAGCGGCGAAAAGCGGCGCGCGGACTATAGGCGGTACGTGCGGTTATGCACGTGAACGGAGAATATGACGAACGATCGCTCGTCACGTGCCGTGAAATTCAGGGTTGCCCGGCCGGTAAAATAAGAACGCGTAATCCGCTCGAAGTTCAGGCCGAGGTCAACGGCGAGAAAGGGACAGAAGAGTCAGAGTTGCGCCGCTGACGGCACACACACACACACACACACACAGGATGGACGTATATGTATATATATCGGCGGTGGAAGGACGAGAGGAGGGGGAGGAGGAGCGAGCTTGCGGGAGTTCGCGTGATAGTTCACGTGCCAGTTTGCAACAATTCGTGGATAATATCTTAAATACCTATGGGAAACTGCCTGAAATGTAGGTTGCTGACCACGCGCGCTCGCGGGCGCAGATCGACCGTAAGTTACCGCCAAACTGGGTGAAGTAACGAAGCCGCGTCGTCGGGGGCGAAAAGAGTCGCGATATCGATCGATACCTTGAGCGAACAGCGTCGCGCGATAATTAGTGTCGCGAAGCGATGAAAGAGGGAGAGAGAGAGAGAGAGAAGCATCAGCATGAATATATATATATATTTGGAGACGATGTAATCTCACGAGACGCGCACGCTACATTCGAGATTCCTACACGGGGTGACAAAGACTGCTTGACTCAACGTGACGACGAACGAATCAAAACTTGGACACGAATCAGAAGTTCCGCTCCCTTCGGCCGAAACGCCGAGTCTGTTCATCGTCGCATCCGCACACAACCGACTCCTTTTCTCCGTGCGTTATTTAAAGTATTTTTTATTAACGTCTTACGACACACCGCTTCAAAGGGTTCCAAAGGAAACTCCGAAATTACGGTCGCCTCGCGAAGTATCCCGAGCAGAGCCACGAAGAAAGAGCGAACAGCAATCTTTTACGTCGCAAAGCCGCTGTTACTTGTCAGGGAAAAAAGAATATGAAATAAAGTAGCGCAAAAGAATTTATCATGGATAACAGCGCTAGATTCGAGACGCAGAGAGAGAGAGAGAGAGAGAGAGAGAGAGAGAGAGAGAGAGAGAGAGAAACGTACGCGAGCATTTTCCGCATACATGACATCAAGTTCGCCGGCGAGAAAAAGGCACACGAGCGGGGGCATTATAGAGCGCTCATATTACACATTACGTAAATATCCCTTCTCCGGCTGGTCGCTGTTGACCCTTTGAGAAAGGGGGATTAACCCTTTTAAACATTTTGCACACAGCAAACTCGCGGACGCGCGCGAGCGCGCGTAACTTATATACGTTTCATAATAAATGAAACATGTGCGGTTTAAAACCGCCCTTTTGAAAGAGTTAACAGGGTGAGGGAGGAGGAGGAGGAGGAGCAGGGGATGCAGCATTGAAGACGAGTTTCCAGCGCGGGCAAACTGCGCGATGTTAGACTGCGAGGCCGTTTAAAGCCCGCGTGGGAAGGTAATTACGACTCGATTCGATTCGCCCGGCGAGAAAAGCGGAGAGAGAGAGAGAGAGAGAGAGAGAGAGAGAGAGAGAGATGCGGATCGAAGAGTAAAGTCGAAGGCTCCAAGTGGTGTTCTTGATCGTCTACGAGAACCTGGGCAAAAGCCCGGAGAGAAGCGCCTGGCGCGTCCTCGATCGCGCGAAATATGACTCTACCTCTAATTGTACACGGACGGCTCTCCCGTGCCGTGGGGATTACGAATGGAGGCGCGACAGAAGCGCGGTCGTTTCGCGGAAATAAATGACGCGTATAATGCGCGCCGAACGTTGCTGCGCGCGGATAAATAGCCGCTGTAAACGGCTGTACGAGCGAGCGAGAGAGACGGCGCGGCGTCAGCGGCGAGTAATGAATACGCACGCACGTTATTTCGCGGTCGGCAAAAATGATCGCGTGAAATATATACAGAGCAAAGAGGAAGGCGAACGGGAAGGAGAGAGAGAGAGAGAGAGAGAGAGAGAGAGAGAGAGGGGGGGGGAGAGGCGCAGAGAGGGATACAGTCGACGAGGAGTCCGGTGGAGAAATAAAAGCCGCGGCTCGGTTTCGTGTCGCGCGCGACTGTCGTTGTAAAATTACGAGCCCTATGAAAAATAGAAACGCCGAGCGGCGATATCGGGAGCGCCGTTCCGTCGTGTTTTACAGGCGCGGCCTGTCAAACGCGAGGGTGTGTAAACGTTCGGGTCAGAAAAAATTCGGGCAGATTTGGTCGCGACGGTGACGAGAGAGGCCGGAGAGCGCGCGGCGGATCTTGGAAAGCCGATCGGGAGAGCGAAGGGAAAGGAGACGAAAGAAAGAGGAAGAGAGAGGTAGAGAGCGAGCCGACGTAATTTTTCAGAATTTTCAACGACCGTATACGGAGAATCCGGCGCGGCGAATTGCGATCCGCTTTTCTCGACCTGACGTACGACCTAACGCCCTGCTTTATCCCTGCGAAACGCGGACGCGTCTGATAAATAGCCAACTGCTTTACGAAGCTTTCACCCCCTCCTCCTCTCATAGCCGCCCTCGTGCTACCACACGGCCGCCACCGCGTTGTTTTATTGGTCCACCAGCCCCGCTGGATATTTAGCACTGCAAAGTAGGACGTGTTAAAAATCGCGGATTAACGCGACCCGTACGCTCCCTTTCTTTCTCCCCCCCTCTCTCTCTCTCTCTCTCTCTCTCTCTCTCTCTCTCTCTGACTCGGTCGTACGATTGTCCTCGCTCCGTTTGAGCGAGTCTGTGACTGCGCACCGTCTTTGACTGCTTGCGACCGTTCAGTCGTTCCATCATTTCGAGATTGTCTAGTGACGCGTTCCTTCGAGATTCTACAAACCTGAATTCGTAGTCTCCCCACACGTAGTCGCCCGATTTAATCTCGTGACAAATTAATCCCAATAATAAATTCACTCCGTCTTTCACCGCACACCCGCCAAGTTAATTTCTGCCGCCGCGATCTTGCTCTCTCGACGTGCGCTAATGAATGCTCCGTTGTCTGATTTTAACTATGATAAGGGGATCCCGCGAAATCCGGTTAGCTGTAAATAAAATATACACCGCCCGGCCGGACAGCCGGTGAGACCGAACGAATTTGCCGACAAATGGGAAAACTGCGGCGAATTCCGGCTTTTACCGTTGTGAAATTTATCGAGTCTCCGGATAAAGCTGAAAAACGAGCGGAAAATGTCGAAAAAAGCTGCGGAGAAAGAGCCGCAATCCGAAAAGTTGCCTTACCGCGAGGGCCGCTCCGACGTGGAAAATAAAGGACGCCCTCCCCCCCTCTCTCTCTTCACGTTTGAATCGGCTTGCCGTAAAGACAAAAAAAGGGAAAGAATTTTCACAGCGTCACGTAAGTGCATTAACCGTGCGCGCAGAATAGCACGGAAATCGCGCTGTTTTCCAGCGAGAGACGTCACGTGTGTACGCACGTGTGCGCGCGGGCGTGTGTGTGTGTGTGTGTGTGTGTGTGTGTGTGTGTGTGTGTGTGTGTGTGTGTGTGTGTGTGTGTGTGTGTGTGTGTGTGTGTGCATACGATTTCAGCTGCTTAAGGAAAATAAAGAAAATTCCCGCCGGTCGAGGCGCGACAGCCGAAGGGAGTCGCGCGCTCTCTCTCTCTCTCTCTCTCCCTCCTACTCTCTTTTTTTTCCCTCTTTCAATTAGCTACAGATACGCGCTCACGTAATTAGATTTTACTCATGAATGTTTGTAACGTCCGGCATGGACATCCATATTCACCGGCAGAGTTAATGAATATCCATACGCGCGGCATCGTCAGTAATTTTCACCGTTCGTACATAACGCCTAATAAATTGCAGTTACCGTTGACATCGGCCTCCGAGTGTTTATTCGGAAAATGTGACGGACTTTAACGGACTGTTTTCGCGCGCGAGGCCGCGACAGGGACAAACACACTCGCGGCGCGGCGCGCGGCGACCAGGCTGCCGAGCTTAATGCTATAAAACGGCGAAATATAAAGCGTAATTTTTTTCATACGACCGTAAAGCCGAACGGGCGCAGCGGTTTGCGCGGCAAACGCCTCTTGAACCCGCTGTATAAATTCGTGGCGTGTGTGCCGTCGCACAGCGTCGTCGGGCAGAATTCAACGGATATCGATTGCAAGCGGCGGTCGCAATTTTAGAGGATAAGTGGACACACTCGGATGCCCATTAGACATCCATTAGCCGGCTGCTCTCTCTCTCTCTCCCTCTCTCTCTCTCTCTCTCTCTCGCTCTCTCTCTCCCCCCCCCTCTCTCTCTCTCTCGCTCTCTGCATCCAGCAACTCTACAGGGACGAATGTTAAACGTCACGATAAACGTTGGTTGATGCGCATCGCGCGCGGTCGCGAGAAATAAATGTCGGACTCGCAGCAGCGCGGCGGCGGCGGCGGCGGCGGCGGCAGCAGCAGCAGCAGGTTTGCGAGAGCGTGTCCGAGTGACCAACAAGGTCGGCGTATTCGCTCGCGGCATTCATTAACAAAATGTAGGCGTCCACTGACATTACGTCTCGGCGCGGAACGGGCAACCACGGCGCGGCGCGCATGCATTTGCCGTTTCACTCGCGAATGCATAACGCTCGCTTTGTAATTCCGTTACTCCCCGGCCGGAATAATTCGCCACTTTTCCTCGCGCGTGGCTACGTATGAATTATTAGCGGCCGCCAAAACGGCCTTTGAAGTTTGCCAGCCGTGCTCCCGGAAACACACGGGGCCCGGCTTCGACCGAGACGAACGAAGTTAAATCAATTCCCGAACGCGCTTTTTCCATCTCGGGGTGCGCTCGCGCGCACACGCGTGCTCCCTCCCCTCCCCCCTCGCC